GTGAAAAGACAAATTCCTAATGCAGGAAATTGGATATGGCAAATAAAGTGATCTTATCTTACAATCATTATATTTAAGTCTTGTATTATCCCAAAGACATTTAAAGCAGAACTACAGTTGAGAAGTACTATAATTGATGGGAGAGCAGATCACTAGATGACACCTATAACTTTGTGTCAAAAAACTTGCCATGAATCCAGTGTAAAATTGCCTGTACTTACTGCAGTAATTCTTGCCTACTGTATGTTGAATCAGAAGAAATTCTACTCTTCTTTGAATGTTTGGCTAATTAACTCATGTTTTTGTGTTTGTGGTGAGCAAGCATTTAGTCGTTATCAGCTACACACCCATTTCTCCATGCGTGCATGAGCTATTAATTTAACCTCAGAATTACACTGCACAACACCGACAAATAGTTTGTCCACCATGCAGGACTCTAATGTAATGCATCTCAGACTTTGACGTGATCTCTCACAGTAAATTGGCTTTTGCAGCTGCGTGTAGCCAATGCAAAGCAAGTTGTATGGCAAAAACAGTGGGATTATGCTCATACCGTGCTGGTCAAGCCTGGACAGATCATTATTACACTGGAATGGGGCTATTTCATGTCCCGGGAAGTACGAATGTCGCAGGACAGCCGTCTCAAAGTCTGAATTTTTAGAAAACCACCCACCCATTTCTGGAGAAGTCCTGCCGCCTTTCAATATTCTTTTAGTCGCTGTAATTCTTTGCATTTCACAGTATACAACAAACCAGGTATTAACGTTTTAGTTTTGAAAGGAATGAGTGGCGTGTACACTAAGGGGGTGTCACCAACCTAATTACACAGAAAAAAAAATTAAACTCCTACCATCCTCTTTCGTCTGGGGTCCCGGAAACATAGTGCTCCTCACTCACACAGACATTTTCAGTAGCGCCTGACACAACGCAGAAGTAAACACAGTTTATAAGGCAGAAGAGGTACAGACCGAATGCATAAAGCAAACGCATGCCATACATTGCTTTACTGACACATAACATAAGGGTTTCCTTACGTTTTAGTAGTATGTGATCATCTCCTAAGTTTCCAACCCAACCGAGAGAGTCTCCGAGAGGCGTACTGCACTTCAAACACAGGAACACAACCGGGGGCACATTTTTCTCCGCCTCGTCCAACATGCGCTCCTCCGGCGCCGTGTACTCTAAGTCACTTATTGACTGGAAAAGGCTACTTAAGTCACTGTTGCCCGCCATTACTTTCGAACTTCTACTACGACGAAAGACGAAAAACGACAAACCCAGCGCAAGGAAACGGAAATACGTCCAGGGAGGCTGGATAAAACAGCAACACGCTTCTTCACCACTTGTCCGTATATAATGATGTGCGCAGACTTGAGAATAATGAATATGTATGACGTGACGTTCAGACCCACCCCTTTCCTTTGGGTCGCTCGCTTTTTTAACGTTAAAAACAAAACAAAAATACAATACAAACAAGAGCAGATGTAACATCGTAGCGAGACTGGGTCGGAGCGGATGCAGACAGGAGTTCAGGCGCTTTTTACTATTTTATTTTATTTTTATATTACGTATTTTTAAAATGGAAACTGCCGTTTATTGCCAGCATTGCATCAAAAGATAGTGGAAGACAAGATACTGCGTAATCACGTTATGACACACGGGGGTCACTTGGGGTACCGTTACAACGTTTAGGGTTGTTAAGTGGATACAGGTATAAAAGGGTGTAAACCGGGGGTACCTATTTGCATGACAACCGAACAGCCCACAACAATATGCAACCGCACCAGATGGTCAACCCGCGCTGGCCAGTAGCCCTAAATCCACGCTTCGGCTCCTCCTTCCATCCTTCCCTTCGCCGTGCACTCTTCGGCCTCAACGCCAGGCGAGGGCGCCACAATATCGATAACATCGTGATACATACTATAATACGATTACACTTGATGAAAAAAGATTAAACAAAATAAATGATGTATGGTTTCAGGGCTACTTGCACAAAAGACACAGTTATCATCTACATTAATTTTAAATCTCTGCACAAAGGGGGTCTTTACGGGGTAAATTCAATTAACTACTTTATATGATAGTTCAAGTACAGTAGGTAGCTGCGTCAGCGTGCAAAGGAACAAGTGCAGGTGTATGCCATGCTGAAAACGTTTCGGCTGTGGAGCTTTCTTCGGGTGTTTCTTTTCTTCTCTTTTCAGCGTTGCATACACCTTTACTTGTTCCCATTTTATATGATACCTCCTTAACCTTATTACTTATGCAATATTTACTTGACGTCATCCATTTTTGTTTTCCAAATGTCGCTTACTTCATCCAAATGTAATGAGTAGAGCCATGCACACTTCGCAACTGTTGCATCAAACTTGTAGTTGTACAACTTGTAGACAATGCTGGAAAACAGAAAAAAGCTATATGGACAGGTTGTATGGGTATTATATTGGAAAGTCATTCGGAAATTAGATGAATGTAATTTATTACATACTGACATATTTCTGCATTACAATATGCAATGCATGAGGGTAAAAATAATCGCATAAAAAAGGAAATATCACTTTGTCTCGAAGAAAACGTTGATGGGGGGGGTAGACCATCTTGCATGTTCAGATGAGTGTCGCTTCAGATGATTTTCGGATGATGTACCAGTGTACTATTTTGTAAATTGTTGTAAACAAAACGACAAAATGCAAAAAAATACATCCTTCAACTTAGGAAGCAAAAATGCACAATTCTTAAACTAAACGTATAAGATAACGAGTCTGAGCAAACCTCAAAGTTTGTTATTTTTATATGATCTTTTTCCTGTTACTAAATTATTGCAAGGATTGTGCAGAGAAAACATTTTAATCCAGCCCTGCTCTTGAACAATTTGACCCAATCAGACTTCAGAACACCCCCCACCAATTCTAGGCTGGGCCTCTCGTTCTTCTATTCGTCTTTTCCTTTAAAACCCTCATCAGAAAGGAGTACATCCTGAATTGGTCTGACACAGAAGTAGAGTTTTGCTGCTGCAGGGGATTTTGAAAACCTTGCAAACGCTTCTTGAAATGACAAACCAAACCAACACCTCATTTTACGTTTGGGAATATTACTATGACTACTTGGATCCAGTCATTGTGGATGAAAAGCAGTTGAAGTTCAACAAATGTGAGTACAGCTTTACAAAAAAAAAGACACTCTAAAGAAACTGGAACGATGAGAATCTTAAGTCCGATGTCAACTACTTTCTTTCAGACTCCATTGTCATTGTGTTCTGGATAGGACTGGCTGCGTTCGTGGTGTTTCTCGGTCTGATTCTGATGCACATGGCCCGTCCTGGCACTGTGTCTTTACAGTAAGTGTTGTCAAAGCATGCGCTGTCTGTCACTGGATGTTATTTTTTATTAAAACATTAAAAGATGTTTTGTAAGGGTAAAAGGAGTAAAATACTATTTTGATATGCTATGGCCATATAGTGGTGTAGACAATAGTCAATATACCTGTAATCATGATATGAGGATTAAAAAGGCTTTTAAGATCTGCCCTAGTTTTCAAACACACTCAAGTACAGTTTAATTGCTGCACAACAAATTAAAAGGCAGGAGTATGTAGCTTACAATGTAATGCTATGATTGCTTTTAGCTAAAACTATAGAATTTGCAAACTTTGTGTTCTTTTAAACATTATCTGCATAAGAATAAATATTATTACAGCGCAGAATGTTCAGGCAGTCATCGTTGTATACAGCAAAGTGGTTTTGAGATTTCGTTTTCAAAACAAACTAGAGCTAATTTTTAACATGAAATACAGTTTAAACAGGGTTTAAACAATCTGACGAAAGGACATTTCATGTCACGTGTTACTGTTCATTTCAGATGTGTCTGTAAGGGTTCAAGACCAGGACAAGGTCATCACAGAATGTAGCAATCATTCAGTTCCCAGAAGACTGGGGTTGGGCCTGCACAAGGAAAAACAATTTGTACCAGGGCTGTCCAAAGCAGGCTCTTGAGGGCCAGTGTCTGTGTAGGGTTTCATTATAACTCAACTCTTAACCTATTATTAACTTAATAGAACCAATTTAATAGCTTCTAACAGTTATTTGAGTGCTGGAGCTTTTGAAGAGACTGACAGATATACTGGCTCCCCCCAGGACCAGGACTGGACACCAAGCCACTATAAAATGAAACAAGGAGATCTTATTGTCAGAGCAACAACCACTGGGGCTTTGAAACTCTACCCTAAATTTTATACATCCTGCATCAGTTTATTTCAAGACACTCCCAGACAAAAACATAAGAGAGTTAACAATCAACTGTATCCACATTTTGAATAAGAGTCGTTAAGTGGTTATTATTCAGCAGAGTGGAGTAAACAGTGGTGAAACTAAAATGTGCTAAAAAATACCAGCAGAAATTGTGCATGTTAGATTGAGATTTTCTCCAGAGGTTAACATGAAAAAGAAAAGCTCTCCTGTGCTCCTGCTGATAAGAGGCTTTTTTTCTTTTGCACAGGCATCCCAATTCAAAGACGTCTCCATTGACATCCTGTTTATCCTGAAGTAAGGAAGAGTTGGCTGCTCAGGACATTTTATCTGTAAATAAGAGCCAAGTTCACAAAGTAGACAATAGGGACCAGGACTTTGTGATCAGAGCAACATAATGTAATGTATTAGCAAACAGACAAGGGAAATTAACATATGGAGCTATACAGTTATTTGGTAGCTACCTGTATGTGTAACTCTGTATTCTGTAGGCAGCAATACAAAGTCCTAATCTACATGCTTTGATAATATAGGAGCCAATTAACTATACTCTGGCTACAAGGCCGGGAATCAATTCCAAAATCCAGACCTAGAGTGCAGAAAGAGCAAGGAGTGCTGGAGCAGATCTGCAGCCAGGCTGATCCCAGTTCTCTGGACTCTGGATTGGGGATTCTAGAACTTCTACAAGCCTCCAGCTTTCCCTTTGAACTCTGTGATGTAATTAGTATAAACTGACACCCTCCAAATGGTAATCACAGGTATGTCCTACTTTTCATGGGGTGGGCGGACTCAGAACTTGCAGCACTGAGGCCCTAGTACAATTATAGAACGTAGGGTGCTGTCTGTATGGAGTTTGCATGTTCCCCCTCTGGTCATGTGGGTTTCTTCCGGATGCTCCGGTTTCCTCCCACAACCCATGGAAATACTGGTACATCAATTGGCTTATTGGAAAATCGGCCCTGGTGTGAATGCATTCATGTTTGTGCTTGTGTTCGTCTGTCTTGTGGTGGGCTGGTGTCCCATCCAGTGTGCATCCTGCCTTGCACCCGTTGTCTGCTGGAATAGGCCCCCTGGATACCCTGAGAAAAATTCTGTTTCTTAGATAATGATGATTTCTGATGATTCCCCCCCCCCCAATCTTAACCTTTTGCTGATCTGGAGGACAAAATAAATCTGAAATGGCACACGATTCCCTGGAACAACTCAAAAAGAGACATCATACTGTATAGACTAATATTTTTAAAATTTCTTGCCACAATGGACTGTCCTATAAAAAAACTGCAATCTGAATGGTTTTTGTAGATTAACACAAATGAATTATTTAAACTTTTCACTAATGAATTAAACCATTAGGAGTTCAGAAAGAGTGAAATCCAGAATTTACTCTTATTAATTCTTACCATTGAATATACTACAACTGGTTTGGAGGGAAACACAGAACACTAAATGTTTACTTGTGTTTTTAACTTAAAAACAACTTTAAAGACAAAAATGGTTCAGATTCAGTCTTTCCCATGCTGCTTTTTATATCTATTTGTTCATTCATTCAACTGAATGTTTATTTTGTTGAAAAGGTAGCTGAAAAATCTGTAACTATTTAAATTGCGTAACTATACACAAATCAGATTTCACCTTTCACACTCTTTCCACTGAAAACCTTGACGGTTTTAAATTTAAAGCAAAACAATATCTTTGTTATTGTCAGCTTCATTTTCAGAGGTCTAGTGCTGGAGCAGGGACTGTAGGGGCCAGTCTGGTATTCAAACAAACACTCAGAAGCAGAGCCAGCAAACCCAGAAATCTGGGATTACTGCCTCTGGTTATCAGATTTCAACTGATAGTTAAATATCCGAATAAACCATGGTGTTTGAAAGCCCGGTTTAGCTCAGTGTTTACAATGTGAAAATCACTTGCATAAGTAATACAAAATGGAGTCCAGGCATTTAGGACCAAGCAGACCCTAACAAGACTATTAATTCAGAATTACTTTGGATAATTTCCTAAATCAGCTAAAATAAAAACCTAAATGACTGGTCACAATTTTTGATATGCTGCTGTTTTATGAAACTGTATTCAAGCTCACATCTTTATAGAAAATATTATGCACTAAAGGAGCAAAACTCTCCAAGTGCCTTACATCCAGACTTTTTATTAGTGCTGTTAACTGCTTAATTCCAAAGTGAAAAATGAAATAAATGTACTGCATTCAAGGTTGTATTAAAACAAAAAGGCTGTTAAGGCAGTGTGGTCCTCTTGTTTACTGCCAGGTTTTATTGGTCACTGAATTTCACTCACTCTTGTTTACAGCTGGGTCTCATGCTGATCAGTGAATAAATAACTCTATTAGTACTGTTTTTATATTCCTTCATATAAAATAAAACTTGGAGTAAAGGACTGTAACTGGTTTTAAAGAATTTCATTGACAGCTTCTGTTCTCAAGGAAGAGATCAAGCTCAAAATGTTGAAGTGGTACTGGGTGGTACTCTAAAACAGTGAAATGCTTTTAAACAACATCTTGTCCTTAAAATACATATTCATATACATTGCTATATTTTGCAATTTATAAAAACAAAATCCCAAAGGTAAATGGGGAAAAAAGGGGAAAAGGGGAAAAAAGAAAAAAAAAGGGGTTTGGAACCTGTTCCTTGAGATTGAATAAACCGGTCCTGGTCATTCTGGAAGGATACAAGTCCTATGCTATTTCAGTCAAAACAAAGTCCTTTTGCTGGCTCCCAGTCTGTATGGGCCTACAGGGTCACACAGAGGATCCAAGAGCCACAGAAAGCTCTTTACAAATGGAGAACACCGCTGCCTGGCTTGTGCCGTGCTCCTTCTTTTTCAGAGTCCTTGCTCTGCCTGTCTCTTTGGTCTGTGTCACCAGCTTGACGTGAGTTAGGAACAGTGTTGGTTCTTGTGCCCCTGTCCACAACTCGAGTATGTACTGCGACATGAGCAACAGCCCAGCTTCTGGGGAAAAAAAAACAAACAGAAGCTGTACTCTCATCTGAATTACTGAAATTCAAAATATAAGATGACAGAAAGAAAAAAGAAACTTTTCAAAAACAAGAGTCTGTAATCCAAACAAAAGTATTCTTTTCCAACAAAATAGAATTTGAATTTCAATTGTCAACTTTTCCCATGCTGATTGTTCATAAGGCCTTGAAAATAGGTTAGTATGTACTGTATTCTATATATATTCTGTTTGGTATAGATTTGAACACTACCACTACTATTGCTACAAATGATTGCATTTGCCAAACATATACTTCCAGTATTGTTTTAGTTGTTATGTTATTATTGTGAGTGACAAAGCCAATATTTGAACCAGAAGACATCTGGATATAAGCATAGACAACGACTCCTCGGGTGCTGTGCCATCTCAAGCATCCTCAATATTTTTGATAAATTAGTAGTGGGTTCATTTTTAGTTTCTACCTGCTGCAGAGAATGCAGTAGGATTGCACATTCACAATGCTGATTAACTATTCTGTCATGTCCCAGATTCTGCAGTCAATTATTCTGACTGTTAAGTATAATTTAACTCATATATTGTTTAAGAGTTTATCAGTGAATCTTAAGTAACTTACATCTGATCAGATAAAGTGTATGCACAAGCTGGCTGCTGCTAACTAATTAACTTGACAGGACCTATATATTTCAGAAACAGAAGAACACTTCTTAATGAAAGAGCAGAAACAGGAGCTCTCCATTATTATATAAGAATAAACGCAAATCAATGAATCACGAGCATTTCAACACCTCAAATATAATTTCCAAATGTTTCTTTTAGACATTTTTCTGTTAGAGAGTAATGCTGTTTCTAAGTGTCACTTGTTTTAATTCCACTGAAAGAGTGGGATAGCTGGGGAGCCTATCTGTCTGGAGTCTGCATGCTTTCCCCAGGTGTCTACAGGTTTCCCAATTCTGCCTTGTGCTCGATCCGTCCATAACAGGCTCTGGGTTGCAACAAACATGGCCGGGAAAAATTAGCTTTCAAAGAATAAATGGTACATGCATCAGTAGCACAATGAGTTGCTTACCTCTTCTCGATTCATCGACGTGAGTGGAGTCAGGAAAGCACACCTTCAGTGTTGTTTGGTAAAGAGCTCCACTGGGGCAGCCCTGTGCTTCCAGCAGACGGGTCATGATGGACGTGAACAGGTGAACTCCACCCACACCAACGGAGTGGAGGTTTTCACAGGCTTGGTGGTAAAGTCTCAGAAAGTTGTGCTTCGCCGCACTGTCCTGGAGAAGAGCTCCCACTACCCCAGGGAACGGCAAGACGCTACTGTGGATCCACTGCAGGAATTTGTGTAAATCGCTCGGATCCAGCGGGGCCGTGACTAAAGATTTCAACCCCCACTTCACCAGCAGGTGGGCTGTAGCGCCAGCCAGCCCCTCACTGTCTGCGACACTGGAAGTAGGTCCCAGCTGGGCCGTCGGCGCCGGTCCATCAGAGGGGTGTGGCCCTGGGAGGATGGCAGGCTCCCAGGAGCAGAAGATACTTCTCAGGAATTGCTCACAGGTGGGCAGTGGAGGCTGGTCCTGAATTCCAGCAGCCATCAACTCGTCTGCCTTCTCCCCTAACCTACCCTGGCTCTGTAAAGAGAAGCCCTTGCCTCTGGTCCTCTCTTTTGAGGTCTCTGAAAGGCATGAAAGGAAAAAAAATAATCATAGGAATGATAATTTTCAATTTATATAGTGCTTGTCATGTAAAAGGATCCTTATACACTTTACACACAGAAAGGGATTCTCAATGCACAGCAGCCAGTCTGCACCAGCCAACAGACTACGTAACAGATCAGGAGGAGAAGTGAGAAAAGGTGTTTTACTCACTGAATTAAGGGGGAACTGTAAGGAGTTCAGACTGTACAAACCCAGAGTGGAATTCAGGCAGGACACCAGGAATAACACCCTTGTTCTTCTGAAGTAACATTGGATTTTTAATGATCAAGTAGGCAGAACCTCAGTTCAATGTCTCATCCAAAGGGAATTGCCTCTTAAACCTTACTGGGATATTGGTTTGAACATTGTGGAAGAGTCCCACCTACTGATCCATCTACACCACCTACAGTAGCAACATGGTTTGCCTTAGAAGTCTCTTGTCCCTGCTGACAAGTCTCTTGTCCCTGCTGACAAGTCTCTTGTCCCTGTTGACAAGTCTCTTGACCCTGCTGACAAGTCTCTTGTCCCTGCTTATATTCTGGGATCTGATGAGATCTGGCTACAAGGTGGTAACACTGATGCATTTTCAAACACAATGACATTGATTCTCAAGCAGATTTTGCTGTGTCTTGGCGTACACTATTCTTTCCAAGGATTAACAATCTCATGAAGGTGGATGATTATATTTCAAAATGACTGTAGAATAAAGCCTAAGGAATATGTTTTGGCAAATTTAAAGTTTCTGTAATTTGTAGAAAATATAAAGAGAAATTACCACACACTGGATACTAATTCAGTCTGAGACTCAAGGTTAATGCTGAAAACTGATCTATTACTGAGATTTGACACTAAAATCTTCTAGCATGCATTCATAAAAAAATAAGTAAAGTACACCTTAAAGTTCAGTACAGCTTTCAGTATTTATTTCCTAAGACACTGAGGTTTACAGTTCTCACACATACTCACTCAGTAGTTCCTTCACTTTGTGCTTGTGTGCCACGGAATGAATAGCATTCAGAATTGGAGTGTCTTTTGCTGTGGTGCTCCATTTGTGCAGGAGTATGAGAGCCTCAGTGCAGGACAATGTCCTCTCTTTCAGAGTCATATGTCCCTTCTCCCTATAGGTACCAAGGGCTGTGCTCCGGTGCGTCAGCACTGAGCTCAGCGTCTGTAAGAACTGAGCCAGCTGGAGAGCTTTCGAACCGGTCCTGTGAAACACAAAACACAATACGAAATTTAATCAATAATAGACCTCAAGATGATTTTTGCTGGGGCAAACATCAAATGTCAGCTCAAACAAGTCTTGCATGTCCGATCCCCTAATGGATTTAAGAAAAACGTTCCATAAAAAAAGGAGGCCTAGCTGCCGGAAGATGAGCAGTACCCTGGAGCTGTTTCAGAGTACCATGGCTGAATCCTGTGAGGGAACTCCACATCTAAGGGGTTCAGGGGAGATAACAGCTCTGCTAAGCAAGCAGGATCTGAGGTGAGGAACACTTTATAAGTCAGTAAAACAGTTTCAAAATCAATGCTAAAAGAGACTGGGACACTTGTAATTGAAGAACAGGAGTAATGTGTTGTGTAGCCTTAGTTTTAGAGCAGGACAATTATGAATTGATAATTTGGAGACTGAAGATTTAGGTAAACCTCCAAGCAAACAATTAAATTAGTCAGTGCAGGCCGTGAGGAGCTTTAATCGTGCAAGGGCCTTCCTTACTTTAGCAATGTGTTTTAGGTGAAGGTTAAGCAATCCTGATACCTGATCAGGTGGTTCTGATACGATTGTCAGTTTTGAGTTCATAAGCCACAATGACTCCCAAGCTCTTTGCATTTGACTTGACTACTAAGAAAGGCTGCAAATAACACCGAGAAAGAATTACCAGAAATATTACTTGTATTTTGTCACAATTACCGTGTTGCCATGGACAAGACTATACCATTGACACCACGGTCTAGGATATACATCACTGGTGTCCACAAGAGGGAGTGCCGTCTTTCTCCACAGAAACAGGTTCCTGAGTTTCTAGTCTTTAACTTGTTTAAGGGATTGGTTAGGAATCTGTATGGAACTTACTCTACATAAGTCAGTCTTCAAGCCATATAGTTTAGCTTACATGAACAGATTTTCTGATGATTACAGTGTATTTAGAAAACAACATAAAAAGATTAAATGGACACTGTAGAAATCATTTACAATAGTTCTATATACATTCAAATTTTTAAGTGAAGTTAGCAGTGATAAGCATTGGTGTCTCGCAGCGCTGGGGCCCTGGATTCAATTCCTGGATTTTGTGTGAAGTTCTCCCTTTTCTGTGTGACATCCAGCTTCCACCCACTGTCCAAAGACATAGTGGAAGGTTAAATTGTTAACCGTTAACCTGTGTGTCTTTGTGTCCTGTGCCCAGATGGACTGGAATGAACTGAAGGCCACATCCTCATGTGTTTGATTTAGACAACTTTGGAATATAAAGGGATTTACACTGATTTGGAGATGGGCTGGTTAGAGTAGGTTTTTGTGTAGACTGTTGAAATTTGGGACAATAAAATCTCCTTTAACCTGTATTTTTCTCTCTCTGTGTTTAGACTTCATGATCCTCCTTGGTAGAGGCAGTCCTGTCACAGTAACCTTGAGAGTGCCTGTACCTTTATGTAAAGCAGATCTCTCTCTTCATGATATACAGTACAAGCTGACTTTCACATCCTCCCTGTATGAACACAGCATCTCTAAACCTTAAAGCTCTGGTACTATAGTACCTGGTACCATGTTCACAAAATCAGACATGTTTGATTATGATTATGTTTAGGCATGTCTACACCTCTTTACAGCCCATCCACCTGTGGATGGATTTTCTAACCACTTCTTCCAATTCAGGGTCGTGGGGAGCCAGAGCCTATTGTGGCAAGCAACACGTGCAAGGCAAGATACATCCCAGATGGGGTGCCAGTCCACCACAGGCAATCTTTTCATAATGTAGAACAGAAGATGATAGTTTTTGACAGCTGGTGATTCACTGTTGCAGCACCTGTGAGCTTAGTTCTTTTTTACACACTTCAAATAGACATAAAGGTTTTGAGCATGCTTTTTACAATCGTATTACTATCACTGTGCCCAAACACATCCTTCTATACAAATTAAGTGCTACAATTATGTTATGATTATTTAATGGTGTCAGGAAATGTAATGTGCCCAAGAAGCAGGCAGTGACTGATTTTCTGAATCCGTTCCGGAGCCGAGCTGCTGATACAAAGCCAATAGGATGTTATGTAACTGGACCGGATGAAGAGACCTCCTAACGAAATGCCAGTGTTTGTAAATACTCCCCAGCTGTACTGGAAGACTTTTTATTTTGCAATGATTTTTGTTTTTAGAGGATATTCGCTCACTGTCAGCCACTCACACAGCAGGATTTTTGGCTAAATGGTGCATAAGTTCTTACTGAATGTGTCTGATGAAGGCAAGCAGCAAACGCACAAACTCGTCGATGAGGGGAAGAGGGAGACACTTCAAGGTCTTGGGGGGAGTCTCGTCAGCAGCAGAGTGGACCGCCCTGCTCTCTTTATCACCCAGGTTTGTGAACCAGAGAGTGTGCACTAGAGAAATAAGGCTGGACAGGATTCTGCTTTCAATAAACCTACAAGAAAAAAACACAGATACCAACATTGTCAGAATAACTATGGATTTCATAGTGCCTTGTTGTATTTGGGTCTTATTCCAGCTCCTGACAACCTAGTACAACAGGAAATGTTTTTTCTCTCCTTTTCCTTATGTTTGTTGTAAATTTGAAAATGTATCGTGGTTTTCTGGATTTTCATGTTATGACTGAAATTACAAAAACAGCTTCTGCATCACAAAATACATTCACTTAATAAACATTTTTTTAAAAAGGGGTCTCAGTTGTCTGACTGCTATTTTTTTCCTTGCTTGAGAAACTGACAAGTGTGTCCAATATGATTATTCATACTGATAGATGCTCTTTATCCAAGGTGACCAATTACAATAAAAGGCTATATACAAAATTTAAAATAATGCACTTTAACTGCTCCTGTATAGTCCCAATCAAGTGGGTTTTATACAGTAGAAAAATCACTTAATCAGCAATTTACAAATATTTGGAACTATTTTATGATTTAATTGTGGATGACATGTTAAATTGTTTAGAAATGATTTTGGAACACAAATACAGGACCAGAGATTAGTTTGCAGTACACTAGCATTGCATTGATCAGTAATTCTTTCCATTTTTTTTTAAACTGATCGCTTAGGGTAAGATTAACTGCATTGGGGGGCTCTTTAAGACAGAGGTTCTTTAGCCTCGAAAATGTGTCGGGCAAAGGTAAAAGGCTGTAGAATGTGCCCCAGAGGCAGAGAGTGGCCTGCTGATATGCTGAATTCATTTAGGAGCCAAGCTGCTGACGCAATGCCATGAGGATGTTATGTAACTGGGCTGGATGAATGAACCTCCTAGTGAGATGCTAACGTTTGTAAATACTCCCCAGATGGGCTGACTCACCTCTTCTCTAGGACTTGCAGTATCCAGGTTAAAAGGCCATGACACTTAATGAGCTCATAAGCAGCTTTTGTCACATGGGCAGCTTGCTGTAAGACGTCTAAAATCTGAATCTGAGACATAAGAATTACATAAGAGATGACAACAACCCAGCAGGACAGCCAAAGACAGTGCTGAGATACACACTTAAAAGTGCTGAGTCCAGATCGGGAGACGTAATATTAAAACTAACACTCCCAGTGTTGACTGATTTAGAATATTCCTTGTCAACTGTGGTTGGTACGTTCTAATAATGAAACTAATGTCCTGGGACTATTAAATACTGGAAGTATAGGACTGAAGAGAAATCATTGGTAATTTAGGCTGAAAGATTCAAAGGAACACAAGAAGTATCCCAACTCCTTACAGTACGCAGAGAACAGAGAAACAGACCTGGGAGACAAAACGGAGAATATAATGTGCATTTTTTACACAATGAGCTCTGGATATCCTGCAGGAAGATAATGGGAATTGTATTTTTCACTTTTTAACTTGAATTATATGACTAAATGCAAACAAGTTTTTGGATTGTGACTTTATAACACATGCAGCACAGAAGCTAGTCAGACCCGAGTTACAGTCTGAGTTGCTTCAGTCAGTTTAAAGTTTGCACTGTGCACATTGCACTTAATTTTTATTCTGTTGTAATTTAAAGTTTTTCCAGACAGTTTTCAGAGTGCTGGGGATTATACAGCACTGCTTAGAGTCACACAACTTAATACTCCAACAAAAACAATAATGGTCAAAAAACACACACACCCTTTCAGAAATTCTCTCATCTGCTTTGAGAGACAAGAGCAGTTTTGAGATGCATAGTTCCTACAATCTTTTAAACTCTTGTTTTCTTTCTGACCTGACATGTGGCTCACCTGAACAGATTCCTCGCAGATTGGATTGCTACAGTAGCTTAAAAGGATTTGAAAAACACCTTGGCGATCACACAGCTCATAGCAATTCTTGTCTTTCAGTCCCTCAACAAGAAAACCAAGAAGCCAGTGACGCTCCACTTTATGCTGCAGAGAAAGAAATGCATTGGTGTTTTATTCAGTTGTTTCTTTTAAACCTTTTCTTATTGTGGACAACAATCCACATGGTAGCCAAAGGTTTTCACTTTCTGTTTTAGAAACTAAACAGGACTAAATAGGTTTGGCTTCCAATAACTCTAATATACAAAGTGTTAAGACTGTAAGTGAGCTCATTTGTTTCCAGCAGGTTACAGCAATAAACTTTCTATTAATTGTGGACAGCCTCCAATGTCTTCCTTTAATGCTGAAAGAAATCTTGATGTTGCTGCTGCAAATTGACATAAACACTCCTGTGAGAGATCCTGTGCCTTAAAATAAAGGCAATCCTCCTTCTGTTAAAGTATTGGAGATGTCTGATAAGATAAAATATGCTTTTATTAAATATAGTTAAAAAATAACAGAAAATGATGGCAGTGATTAGCATAGCTGCCTTGCAATTCTGGGGCCCTGGGTTCAATGACTGGATTTCCTCTGGGAGCTCCAGTTTCCTCCCACAGTCCAAAAACATACTGGTAGGTTAACAAGCTTCTGGGAAAATAGGGGCAGAGCGGTGGCTCTGTGGCTAAGGATCTGCGCCTGTGGGTGGAAAGTTGCTGGTTCGTACCCTGTGGCCGGCAGAGGAATCCTACTCTGTTGGGCCCTTGAG